CAGGGTGAAGAGGAGAGAACAGGAGACAAGGTGGAGGAACGAAAGCGTAGTCACCGTCCTCCTCATCTTCAGTCCCAGCACCCACAGGTACAGCCCGTTTCCCACCACACCCACCAGGAAGGTGGGGAAGAGCAACGCGGCCGCAGCCAGGTGAGCGGCGCTCACAGCTGCTGGCGTCTGGCTGGAATTTGTCACAGTGGTTGGTGGGAGAGTCGTGTTGCCTTGGTCCATGGTGCCCTGGGGAGAGACAGAAGAGTGGTTGGAAGGGACACCAGAGGAGGGGGAAAGGGTGAGGGGAGGAAGGGAGAAATAAAGGGGGTTAGGAAGACAACATGGGAGATGATCTCTCTGGGCACCCTGTGGTCCTCCAGAATATCCAGGCTAGGTATTCTCAGCAACTGGGCTATAGCCAATGTAAACTCACTGCTATAAGGTAGAACTATGGGCAGAGGCAAAAAAGGATAGTAAGTGTGGGAGGTGTGAGGATGGGGACAGTCTAGTAGGTCAAATATACAGCTATTCTGATAATACCATGTGGCTGTGATCTGGAGGACAGGCTGTCTCTGAGGGATGGGGAATGGGATATGGGGCCTTCCCCACCAGGAGGTGCTGGTTCTGACCTGGCTCCAGGGCGGAGACTCGCTGGCTCTGGGAGGTGGTGATCGGTTCTGTTGAGCTGTTGCTGGTAGAACTCACTGCTAGAAGGTGGAAAAAGCCACCCTTCCCCCACCCTGTCTCTTGTACTCATCTGGCCGTCACAGGAATTGCTGCTACACCCTGACTCGTGAGAACGTGCAGTGTCCTTCTTACTCTCAGTGTAACACAGGAAGCCTCAAGCCACTGAGCTGCTTCTCTGTCCCACAGCCGTGCTGCCAGCCCTGCAGCAGGGTCCTCTGGGCTATTGCCTCTGTCAGGGACTTGCCCTTCACGGCCTTGTTAGCATGGAGTCCTCTGTGTTCTGCAGACTGGCCTAATGGTTAGAGAAGGGCAGGCTGGGAGCCAGGACTCCTGGTTTCTATTCCCAGCTCAGGGAGTGAGGAGGAGGTCAGAACTCCTGGTTTGTGGGAGGAACGTGGGGTCCTGTGGCTTAGAGCAGAGGTTCTCTGCCAGGGGTTGGTGTATGCAGAGGTCTGTTGGGGCTTCATCAACTCCTCTAGATATTAGCCTAGTTTTACAACAGGCCACATAAAAAGCACTAGCAAAGTCAGTACAAACTACAATTTCATACAATTAGTTGCTTAAACTGCTCTTTATACTATACACTGAAATGTCAGTACAACATTCATACTCCAATTCATATATAATTATATGGGGAAAATGAGAAAGTCAGCAATCGTTCAGTAATAGTGTAGCTGTGACACTGTTGTATTTTTACATCTGATTTTGTAAGCAAGTAGTTTTGAAGTGAGGTAAAACTTGGGGGTACGCAAGACAAATCAGACTGCTGCAAAGGGTAGAGTAGTCTGGAAAGGTTGAGAATTGCTGGTGTAGAGGTTTGTAAATGGGGAGCAACTTGTCTGATGTGAAATAAGGGAGAAAATTCACCCAGTCACAGACCTCACCTCTTAACTCTGTCTATTGAGTGCCCCATGGGAACCCCACTAATACCCAATGACATGGAGTCTCACAAGCTAACATCACTGACACCCAGGGGCAGGGAGTCCCACTGGTTTGCCTTTATAATAGCAAATTTCTTTGGCTTCTAGGGGGCCTTAGCAAGGAATTTCCCCTTTAGACCCAACACAGAGCCCTCTGCCCATTGTTTCTACTCACCTGGGCAGGGGGTGGTGGAAACACAGACCAGGCGCAGAGAGATCCTCAGATGGCGTGTGTTTGGCCAGCAAAGTATCCGTGTATCTGTCCCCTGCACCCCGGAGCTCTCCCCTGTGTGTTGAGTTCACTCCCCTTTAGTCTGTATCTTCTACATGCTCCACCCCCACCTGCTCTGAGATCCACAAGCTGCAAACCATGAACGGAAATGATCATTGGACACTGTCTTATCTGAGAAATCATCTAAGCAACAACCATTGCTTTGAAACTAGCCCCACTCCCTCCCAGAGCCTGGCATAGAACCCAGGAGTCCTGGCTCACAGCCCCCCACTCTAATGCACTAGATACTTGGCCAGCAGCTCATCTATTGAGGCAGGACCCCATGAAGAGGAAGGGCCTGTAATTCTCACAATTCCTTTCCTGACAGGGGGCTGCACCATGACCTAGTGATAATCCAGATATGTTAGCTCACAGCAAAGGCTGAGTCACAAATGATACAACTCCCAGCCAAGAGTGGGGGGCCTTGTGGGTTAGAGCAGGGGGGCTGGAGGCAGGATGCCTGGGTTCTGTCCCCATCTCTGGGAGATGAGTGGGGTCTAATGGGCTAGTCCATTAGGTGGCTGGGATTGAGGACCCTGGGTTCTGTCTCCAGCTCTGGGAGGGGTTTGGGGTCTAGTGGTTAGAGCAGGTCAATCGCTGTGATAGGTCCTGTGTTATCTACATATGGTGGGTACATCCCTGTGTGAAACAACTCATGTGAAATCCTGCCCCTTCCTTTCTAGATAAATCTCAGTCACACCCAGTCCTCCCCAGAGTGCTGGTTACATAGGCCCCATCCTTGGAACTGGGACCCTGAGACCCCTGAAGGGAACCCAGCACTACTGGGAAAACAGCACCCAACAGCATGGTATACCAGACCAAGGTTGAATTCTGAGGGTAGTGGGGTCTAATGGATTCTGTGTGTGGCTGCAGCCTAATTGGTTTGTGCAGGGAGGAATGAAATGCCGTGTTTCTCACTGCTAGGACATGGGCTGCACATGTCTGTCTCTCTCTCCCTTCCCCTTTTCTGTCTCCTCCAATCCCCTTTGTGTTCTTCCTGCTCCTTCTTAGGGTCTCACGGCCCCTCCATCTTCTCGAAATGCCTGATCCCTCATGGCACCTCTGCTTTCCCGACCTGTTTGTCCACTCACGGCCCCTCTGCCTTCCTGACTGGCCTAATTAAGAAGAAGCGGTCGGCAAGGAGCGGGAAGCCTTTCAAAGTCATGGTGACTGCAATGGTGTCATTCTTCATCTGCTGGCTGCCCTACCATCTCTGCCAGGGCTTGCTGCTCTACAAGAATGCGATGCCAGTGTCGGTCACGAGTGCCTGAAGTTAGAGAGCATTGGAAACTTGTCGTCCCACTTGTTCCTTTACCCCTCATGGTTCTGAAACCCTATAGGTTCCAGGTATCTCAATGTTTATAAACCGAGCAGTGTCCTTGGGATTCCAGATTCTTTGTTGTCTGCAGAATCCCATGTGTTCTAGGTCTCTCCATTTTTTTCAAAGTCAATGGCTGTTAAGGGTTCCAAATCACTAGCTGGCTCCAGAATCTTGTTTGTTCTAGTCTCTCGATGTAGTCTAACTTAACTGATTCTCATGGGTTCTGCATCACTGGCTGGCTCTGGACTCTTCGTTTTAAGTCTCTCAAAGTGTTCACACTCAATAGGGTCCACGGGTTCTAGATTCCTGACAGGTGCTAGGACCCCAGTGGATTCTAGAGTGTTTTTAAACCATATAGACACCAACAGGTTCCAGATTCTTTGTTGATCTAAAAATCTGATGGGGGTTCTAGATTTTCAAATGGTTTAAAATCCATTTGGTGTGGTGTATTATAGAAGAGTCTGTGTATTATAATAGCCATTACTAGCTCTTCTCTAGTGCTTGTCCTCAGTAGATCTCAAAGAACTTTGCCAAGTAGGTCAGTAGAAGTCTCCCAGTTTTACAAATGGGGAAACTGAGGCTGGGAGCATGGAAGTAATTTAGCTAAGGTGACTCAGTCTGCCAGTGGCAGAGCCAGTAATAGTACCACGGGCTCCTGAGACCTGCACTTGGTCTCTATCAAACACTGACTCCTTAGACAGTAAGGTCTCTCCCGTCTTTATACAGTGCCTAGCAGAGCGGGGTTTGGGGCCATGACTACACCTCCCACTGGGTTCTAGCCCCAGCTCTGGGAGGGGAGTGGGAGCTAGTTTTAAAGCAATGGCTGTTTCTTAGGTGGTTGCTCTGCTAAGACAGTGTCCCAAGGATCATTTCCATTTAGGTTTGCAGCTTTTCAACCTGAGAGAGCAGGTTGGGGCGGAGCATGTAGAAAACACAGAGTTAAGGGGAGTGAACTCAACACACAGGGGAGGGCTCTGGGGTGCAGGGGACAGATACACGGATGCTTTGCTCGGCAAACACATGTCGTCTGAATCTCTCTGCTGGGTCCGTGTTTCCACTACCCGCAGCCCAGGTGAGTCAAAACAATGGGCAGAGGGCCCAGCATTGGGTGTAAAGGGGAATTTCCTTGCTAAGACCACCTAGGAGCCACCAAAAAAATTGCTATTGTAAAGGTAAACCAGTCAGACTCCCTGCAACTGGGTATCAATGGGGTTCTCCTGTGAAAGTCCCTGCCACCGGTAGCACTGGGGTTAACATGGGGCACTCAATAGACAGAGGTAGTAGGTGAGATCTGTGACGTGGGTGATTTTTTCTGTTTTGTTTCATGTTAATCAGATGAGGGGTTCCCCATTTGCAGAGTCTAAGCAACAACACCCCACATCCCTCCCACAGCCCAGGAGTCTTGGCTCCCAGCTGCTCCCCCATTCTCTAACCATTAGGCCATTCTACAGAGCAGACAGGACTCCATGCTAATACGGCTATGAAGGAGGCAGCACGGCTTGGGTGCAGAGAAGCAGCTCGGTGGCTTGAGACTTCCTGTGTTACAATGAAGATGAGAAGGACCCTGCACGCTCTCACGAGTCAGGGTGTAGCAGCAGTTCCTGAGACTGGCAGATGAGCACAAGAGATGTGGGAGGGAGGGGTGGCTTTTTCTTCCTTGTAACAGTGAGCTGCACCGGCACCAGCTCCTACATGCTAGGAGTCAACAGCACCAATATCCCACGCCCCCAACTGAGTAGGCCTGATCCCTTGCCCTGGGGCCAGATTAGACCTGGCCACCCTAAAGCGGAAAGGCCCCAGGGCCCATTCCCTTCTCCCCTGAGCCAGCCAGTCATCCAGAATATGTGGTATTCTCTGCACAGCTGTATATTTGATCTACTAGAGTGTCCTCTTCTCCACTCCTCCCATGTCTGCCATCCTGCTTGTCCTCCCCTACTGCTCACAGCTCTATCCTGTAGCAGTGAGTTCCACCAGCTATTGCCCACTTTCTGAGAATATCCAGCCTGGATATTCTGGCGGACCAGAGGGTGCCCAGAGAGATTGTCTCCAACGTTACCTTCCTAACCCAATCTGTTATTTCTCCCTTCTCCTTTTCCACTCTCCCTTTTCACTTCAATTGTTGTCTCTTCCCAGGGTACCGTGGAACAAGATATCATGGCACTCCCACCAACCACAGTGGCAAATTCCTGCAAGACCCCAGAGACCATGAAGACCCCTCACCTGGCCTCTGCTGTGTTGCTTTTTATTACCTTCCTGGTGGGTGTTGTGGGGAACGGGCTGTACCTGTGGGTGCTGGGGCTGATGATGAGGAGGATGGTGACCACGCTCTGGTTCCTCCGCCTGGTCTCCTGCTACCTCCTCTTCACCCGGCTGATCCCCTTCTTCATCATCTACGTCCTCCTGGATTTCCACTGGGTCTTCGGCATGGCGATGTGCAAGCTTCTCAATGTCTGCATCTCTATGGGCATGTTCTCCTTCATCTTACTTCTTACCCTGATCAGTCTGGACTGCTACACCCTCACTCACCATCTCATTTGGTCTCAGAATCGCCGCACCGTGCCCCTGGCTGTGAAGTTGTTCATGGGTCTGGGGCTGGCCTCTTTTGGTTTCAGTGCTCCCTAGTTGGCTTTCTGGGAGACACACGTAGTGGATGTGGGCAGGATTGCCTGCATCAATAATTACGACATGACCAGAGATTGGAATGGAGCCAAGACGCAGGACCTGTGCAGATGGGTCACCCTTGGTCACCCAGTAGAACCTTCGGCCTCTCCAGTGGCAGAACCGGGAACAAACCCAGCTCTCCTGTGTCCCAGCCCAGGTCTCTATCCACTTTGGGCTCTCTGGGACATGGACTTTTTGCTCTGTGTTTGTACAGTGCCTAGCACTTCGGGGTCCTGGGCCAGGACTGGGGCTCCAGGCTCTGCTTAAATAAATAATAGTAATTAATAATAATTCCCAGGTGTTGCTTGAACTACATAATTTCCATAAGTTTTTTTTGTGGTGGCTCTGAAATAATTGCCAATACCATATGACCCGATCACCGGGGTATTTTGTGTGTGGAGGCTCTGGCTTAATTTAAGAGCAACTGGTAAGGAAAACAAGCTGGCAAGACAAAGAGTGGCTTCAGAGAAACCTCCTACCCATGAACACTTCAGGGTGATGAAGAGGTAACGACTAAGCTATTAACTGTGATGCTGTAGGGAATGTGGGTGACCATTCATACTATTATGGATACCAATATTATGAAATTTCAGTGACTCATACAAGATATGCCACGTAAAGTTTCAGTGGAAAAGTTATTGTAGCAACGGAATGTGGCCTCCTTTCCAGATGGCTGGAGGGACAGTCACAACTGCCCCCTGATGGGCAGAACCGGGACACCTGTGCCCATCCCACCGGAAGCAGAGGGGCAGGACAGGAACCAGTAGTATAAAAGGCAGGCCCTCCAGCTTAGCAACTGCTCTAGTGCCTCAGACCTGGAGGGACTGCCAGAGCTGCCAGTCGCTGGAGACACTGAGGAGTTGCCGGGGCTGCCATTAGCTGTTTTATCCTGCCAGGACAAACAATGACCCTGGGACCAAGGTACTTCCACGCCTTCCCCTGAACGGGAGTGTAGGAAGTTGCCAGGGAGCTGAATATAATTTGGCTGTGTTGCTGACTGACAGCTGGCCAATGTGTTGTGGCTGGATTTCCCCGCTGACATATTTGTGTACCAGTCCACCACTGTTAGGGCCCTGGGCTGGGACCCGGTGAATTTGGGCAGGCCCAGGTCCCCCTACCATCTCACCCAGGGGTAGCAGGCTCCCCACTCTAGGCCAAAAGGCCTGCATTTGTTGGTGGTCTCCTGACTGTTTGGTACCCTGCCCTTCCTGAGGGCCTGGGCTTATACACACTGCTGCTTTACATTGATTGCAGGCCAGAGCCTGCTCGTTGTTTGCTGCCCTGCCCTGTCAGAGGGCCTGGGACCCTAACTAATTACTGCTCTACACCGCTTAGTGATGGAGACCCCGGTGCCAATTCCCCCTGAACTGTGCCCTTCCACCAGTGTTGCAGCGAGGGGGCATGTCCTCCTTCCCAGACAGAGGAAGAACAGCTGCAATCATCGTAGTTACGATTTGCTAAATATGATGAACTGACGTATATGTATGTATGTATCATCTTTGTATCGTGAGTTATAAATATGTGCGGTACATTGATATCTCCAACTTCTTCTGTGTATCTGGGTGACACCCTCAGACACTTTGGCATCTGCACTATCTAGCCTTTTGGATGGCCCATCCAGGGAACTCAGCTGTACAATGAGCCCATTGTGAGATGCCAGGGGCCACGCCTATGAGTCAGCAGGATATGTGGACAGGGGACTCCAAGTGCTTTTCCATGCCCATATGGTGGGAGCTTTTGTTTGGGACAGAGGATGTACTAGCCATGTGGCAAACATATAAAAAGGCAGCTGCATCTTCTCCATTTTGTCTTCAATCCTGTTTCTTACCTCTGGAGCAACTTCTCTACAAACTGAAGCTCAGAATGAAGATTTGACAGATGCATCCAAGCTTTGGCTATGTTCCAGAAAAACTTTACAAGCCAGCAAATTCACCAGTGCTGCTAGGAACCTGAACTATAGACTCAGAAATCATATGTATGTATCTGATTGCTTTCACCATTTAACAACTCTCTTCTCTTTCTTTTCTTTTAGTTTATAATAAAACCTTTAGTTGTTAGATACGAAAGGATTGGCTGGCAGCATGACGTTTTGGATAAGATCCAAACTAGTATTGATCTGGGAATGTGGTTGGCCCTTTGGGGACCAGAAGAATTTGTATAATTAACAGAGTTTTAAGTAACTTCTCACTTTACTGGACTTATTTGCTGACTGGGAGCCTCTGACTGGAATGCAATAAAGGGGCCTGTGTGATTTCTTTTTTTTTTGGCTTCTCAATAACCCATGTGGGGGACCAGGAACATGGTGTGTGATTGGTTGGTGAATCTAATTACAGTGTTAACTACCAGTTTTAAGCGAATCTGCTCTCCTTTTTGCAGCCCACCCTCACCTTGGCATTTTCAGTGTGGGCTGCCCCACATGTTGGGTCACAAGTCACAGTAAGTATGAAGATTGCACCTGCCAGCTCCAGCCAAGATAAAAAAGCTTGTCCAAGGCTGGGGGCCAGCAAATCCAAAGGACAACAAACACTTTTAAAGACCCTCTCTGGTGGATTCTCCATCACCAGTAATTTTTAAGGCAGGACTGGGTGTTTTTCTAAGAGATCTGCTCTAGTTTAAACAGGGACTAATTCAAGGATGTTATTCAGGAAGTCATACTAGGGGACCACTATGCTTCTTCTGGCTTTGGAATCTCTGAATCTATCCAGAGGTCAGGCAGATGTTGTCAGGGTGCTGTACCAGTTGTCACCTGGACCCACTGGGGTATCTGAGTAAGACAGGCCTGTGTGGGCCACCAGCCCTGGGTGGAGGGCTTTAGGTAAGTTAGACATGTGCATAGCTCCTCTATTTTAAAAAATCTTTTCCCATTCCTACTGGTCAGATGAAACAAGACTGGCAACCATGACAGAAAGCACCTCTCACTGATTGAAAATTTAATAGGATCTCCTAGAGTCTAGGAAACCTAGCCAGTTCTTAACTTCTTGAGTACCAGGACTCTCAGTGTTTTGAATGTGTTCTGATATGATGCGGTCTAGATTTCGAACATCAGAGCCATTGACCATTATCTTTGAAAACTCGTGGCAATGGGGAGGTCCCGGATGATTGGAAAAAGGCAAATATAGTGCTATCTTAAAAAAAAGGATGAAGGAGAATGCGGGGAACTACAGACCAGTCAGCCTGACCTCAGTCCTTGGAAAAAATCATGGAGCAGATCCTCAAGGAATCCATTTTGAAGCACTTGGAGGAGAGGAAGGAGATCAGGAACAGTCAACATGGATTCACCAAGGGCAAGTCATGCCTGACCAACCTGATTGCCTTCTATGATGAGATAACTGCCTCTGGGGATATGGGAAAAGTGGTGGACATGATATATCTTGACTTTAGCAAAGATTTTGATACGGTCTCCTGCAGTATTCTTGCTAGCAACTTAAAAAAAGTATGGATTGGATGAATCATTTATAAGGTGATAGAAAGCTTGCTAGATTGTCTGTCTCAACAGGTAATGATCAATGTCTCGATGTCTAGTTGGCAGCCGGTATCAAGCAGAGTGCCCCAGTGGTCAGTCCTGGGGCCGTTTTTTTTTTCATCTTCATTAATGATCTGGATGATGGGATGGATTGCACCCTCAGCAAGTTTGTGGATGACACTAAGCTCTGGGGAGAGGTAGATATGCCAGAGAGTAGAGATAGGGTCCAAAGTGACTTAGAAAAATTGGAGGATTGGGCCAAAAGAAATCTGATGAGGTTCAACAAGGACAAGTGCAGAGTCCTGCACTTAGGACGGAAGAATCCCATGCACTGCTACAGGCTGGGGACCAACTGGCTAAGCGCCAATTCTGTAGAAAAGGACCTGGGTATTGCAGTGGACAAGAAGCTGGATATGAGTCATCAGTGTGCCCTTGTTGATATAAAGGGTAACGGCATATTGGGCTCCATTATAGGAGCATTGCCAGCAGATCTAGGGAAATGATTATTCCCCTCTATTCAGCACCGGTGAGGCCGCATCTGGAGTATTGTATACAGTTTTGGGACCCCCACTACAGAAGGGATGTGGACAAACTGGAGAGAGTTCAGTGGAGGGCAACGAAAATGATTAAGGGGCTGGGGCACATGACTTACGAGGAGAGGGGTTGCTTGCAACCAGGTGCTGCTGACACTGAGTTCAAAACTGCCCAAGATCTGGGAGTCCTAGTGCAGATCTGGTAAGGGCACTCCTGCATCTGCGCCTGTGGAGAAAACTTTTCCTGTCAGAACCGATGAGTCAAAGTGATCTGAAATCCACGTGCCCACTCACCTTGGCTTGAATCTGGCTAGCTCTGAGCAAGAACAGGGGGAGAGTGAATGTGGCAGGATTGGGGCCGTGGGATCCGGGGCCCTCAGTTAAAACTGCATGAAAAGGAGTCACTCTGAAAACCAATTGCAGACTCGCATTGACTTGTGAAACCCTTCCGTCAGGTGGAGCCAGGAGCAACAAAGGCCTGGTTCAGTATCTAGGGGTTCCTTTTCAACAATACAACACGAAACCTGCTCGAGCCCCACCCAGTGACCTGGGACAATAACACACCACCCTCTGGGTGCCTCTAAGAGGCAATAGTTCCCCTCTCACAAGCACAGAGTCTGAGTGTAGCAAAAACTTTTAACAAAAGGAGGGAAGTAACTCAGCATTAATTTGGGAAAACACTGCAACTAGGGTTCATAAATGCAAACCATGAGCAAAAGACTCACCCCTAAGTAAGTTGGGCAGTGTCCTTTTCCCCTCAGGGTCTTAAGTCGAGCAGCCCCCAAAGTCCCTTTAACGTGCCTGTCCCTTCTCTGCATCCCACTCACAGTTGCTGTCCTTGGCCAGTGCAGCCCCAGACTTCAGATGTTCATCTGCAGAGTTCGCCACCCACCCTGTGTGGAAGGCGGGGTGGGGGGATAAGGAAGCACCTTACATGCTGGACTACTCAGGCACTTCTTGGGCAC